ATTTGTCATTACTCTATGCCCCATATACTAGCGTTATACTAGCATTATAGGCTAAACTGTTTTTAGAGATAAAACTATTTACATTCAGCAATCATGAAAACAAATCTCAGATAACGGTTGAATAGGTAACAATGTGTAATTAGACCAAATGTTCATTTTGCGCCGGAGTTGTCCTTTAATTGTTCATAATGTTTGAGGTATGACTGTAATTTATGTTATAGAATAAAATTATGTGACCAAGCCACAGACTCTATTTTACTCATAAACTTAAAACCGCTAGTTGGTAAAATGCTAATTCTCTTCCAGGTTTAAGGGCCAACATACAACTCATTTAAGACACATTGAAGTGTTTCAGTCCATATAATTCATCATGACATCTCTCCATTTACAGCTTCTCGGTTTATGGCATACCACACTCCTCTGGTCAACTCGCAGGAGTTCACGGGTGCCCTGGAGAAGGCTAGAGAACTGGCACGTAACATAACGCTGACCATGAGGAAAGTCAACGGCACCTCTCCTGACTTTGAGGTCTTCCCTTACACGTAGGTGTCGACTTCTAATCCTCCTTTATCTCACCATCCTCACCTTTGCCGTTTCTTCAACGGCATAAGATAAGATGCGATAATCGGGAAATGTAATTTTATTGAATGATAACGCGTCCTTGAGCTACTTTATAAATTGCAAAATTGCACGAATCCTTGAGATACTTCATACATTTCTGGCGAATGCAGAATAAAACCTTTTTAGAGATTTTTTTTAGACATGTTAACAGATATGTGCAGGTTTATTGTTTATTATTAAGGGTAAAGTGATTTTTTTTCTGAGCCGTTTTCTTCCTGTTTAAAAAACAAAGTCATGGTGGCTCACTTGGTGCACTTAATTATGTTGAATGTGCACTTGCAGAGTACGTCAGATCTCCGAAGTATATATTTTTATATGTACTTTTAATATATTGTTAATGAAATAAAAGTCCCCTCAGGTGTACTTTAACGATATTACACTTTCATTGCCTGTTTCTTGACACAATTAAAAACACTTTTAGAAAGTACACTTTGTAATAATTCCAAATTAAAAGCTTTACAGAAGTACATTTATTTTTGATATGTTTACAAACATATGTTAAAGCACACGCAAAATAATTGATTTTCATTTTAACTGTAGTTTGTTATTCAATATCACATCAATGTAATATATTTTTAATGTACTAAATTGCAACTTCATAATTATAAATGTGTATCTATAAATACATGACATACATGTTTCAGTACAAATTAAATGTTGCCAATGAGAAAATGACATGCAGTTAATTAAGTGTCCAAAAACTCATTCGCATTAATTTAAACCATAATAACAGCTCTTTTTAAAAGTATGCTAAAGTGTGCTTCTTTTTCACAAGGGTGTCCAAGAGAATAAACTTCTTATTAATTTGTTAAAATAAATTCTTCATAGTTCTTTATACAAGTAAAAGACATGTTAAAGTTTTCATTAAATGCAGAAGAATCTCTATGCTCTTTCTTTTCGCAGTGTGACGTACGTGTATTACGAACAGTACCTGACCATCGTGAACGAGGGCCTGTTCAACATTGCCATGTGTCTTCTCCCCACATTCTTTGTGTGTTGTATCCTGCTCGGCATGGACTTGAGATCAGGCTTTCTCAACCTGCTCACCATAGTGATGATCACCGTGGATACGGTTGGCGTCATGACGTTGTGGGGTATCGATTTCAACGCTGTGTCGCTTATTAACCTTGTGACTGTGAGTGTGTCGGAGAAACGCATTAGCAAGTTTGCATTTCATAAACCCAATGAGTGTCATTAGCGATCCCCGACATTATTAACGGATGGTTTGTTTTGCAGGCTGTTGGTATATCGGTGGAGTTTGTATCCCATATAACACGCTCATTTGCTCTCAGCATTGGCCACACAAAGGTGGAAAGAGCAAAAGAAGCCACAGCTAACATGGGCAGTGCTGTGAGTACCAGAACAACAAAGATGCTACAGTAGACTTGATGGATTTTTAAGACATGCTCAGCTATGCTATTCCAGTCTAGTTGTGGTGCCATTACATACTGTATGTCTATGTTCTCTTTTCCAGGTGTTTGCTGGAGTTGCAATGACCAACCTACCTGGAATCATTGTTTTGGCATTTGCTAAAGCCCAACTCATCCAGATCTTCTTCTTCAGACTCAATTTGGTCATCACTCTACTCGGCATGGCCCACGGCCTCATATTTCTGCCTGTGTTGCTCAGTTTCCTCGGTATGTTGCAAACATGACTGCAAGCACATAACTATATTCAGTCTTCATGTCATTGGTGCTTAATCAAGTTCAAAGAGACTGGTTCTAATTCTAAACAAAGGCTATGTTCAGATTCACCTGGCCTCAAGAGGTCAGGTAGCTAATGATGCTGGAGACCAGGGTCTCAACCATCATTGTTAATGTGGCTGCCTCCCATGCCGGAGATGGTAGTTTGAATCAATCTCGAGCAGGGTCAAGCGGCAACCTTCCGATCTCTCTCTAGAATCCAACATGGAAGTGACTTAAACTGGAATTCGTCGACTGGCCGCTAGAGACAGGCTGCAAAAGAGAGTCAATCCCATATACCCCCATGTTAAAATGCCCAACTTTACAGCAGAAATAAATGTTTACAGTCTGGTAAAAAAAAAGTGTTTTTGGCCTATATAGCTAATTTTGCCCTTCTAATCACTACTAGCCGTTTGTCTGCTGACTGTTAGCCATCACATAACCAGCTAATCCCGCCTTTTTGTCCATTTTCTGTTATCCGGGAGTGAAGCCAGAGACTATTTATATAGAGACATGCCACTTCCTCAATCCTTAATACAACTAGGGAAAACCCGTAACACCAACAATGGCGGTTGTATGCACATGCCCCACCCCTACCGCTGGAAAGCCAATCGTCTGCTTTTAACAGTCAAGCCGGTAAACATTTAAGCCTATCTTCTGGTTCCACCGACGCATGTGCACAGTGGTTTGCGACAGCGGAAAATATGTTACTGTTTGAAAAGGCGGCAGATTTTATATGTGTTAGTTGTGTAAATATCAGACATCGCAAGTCTCCCGGAAGTTCCAGGTGTCTCCCGCAGATTTATAGCGGCTCCCTGATGACCACGAATTAGTTCAAATCTCCTGGAATCTAGAGCGAGCGAGCAAGACCCGTGTAGCACGCGCACGACAGAGAGCGAGAGAACCCTTGCGCATGCGCAGTAAAAGTATAACCTGTGGGGAAAAAGGCGTTTTAGACCTTATTTTGGGGCAAAGTCATCAAACTTTTTCAGATATTTTCATCATATTTTATTACTGTTTCTATACATGCAGTTTTTAAGTCCCGGTGACCAGTGAAAGTGCAGAGTCTCTGCCCATTCATTTAGATAGGAACCTGGTCTTGTTAGTCCGAAATAGCTGCCCCGAGGTGTTGCCAAGATGGCGGCTGTGTGGCATGACTTGCCTAAAAGGACTTTGGTGAAGCGCGCTGCCATGTTGGCGACGGCGGTCTCCGCCCACTTTAGGTTTCGAAAAAGCTCTTCAGAAACCTACGGGTGACGTCACGGACACTATGTCCATATTTTCTTTACAGTCTATAAGTAGGACGGGTTCCATCCGGTGCCGTGACCCGGATGTAAACCTCACCCACCTGGTCTCAAGAGGTGAGCTAGAGCGGGCTTTAGCGTCCTTGTAAGTGTGCCTGCCTCTCATGCTGGAGACGCTGGTTCAAATCCCGCTCAGAGTGGATCAATTAGGACTGGTTACATACAGTTTACTCAAAAGGGTTAAATTTGTAATGGGTTTGAAATGGCCTGTTATTCAAGTTGTTATTCAAACTGTATTCAAGAAAGTATATATATTTTTTTAATATTTGTACATTTGTGTTGTACTTGGAGCTGAGCTAAGTACATACAAATAGTTTTATGAAATCTAAATTGTGCAAAAAAGTATCTAAGTAAAGAGAAAATACATAGTGTAATTGATAAAGAAATATAAAAGGGATAATGTTAAAAAAATAAAAAAGATACAGTCTAAACTATATGCAATTCCAAACACCTGAACAAACCAGACCAAACAACTTTGTGTGTGCTTCTTTGTATATATTATGTGTTAGAAATTGGCAAATGAGAACATAATTGTATATAAATACATTTTTCAAATACACTGATTATCATATAACTTATATATACACGTGTATATATGTTTTATAAATGTATTGTGTATTATTATAATGTATTTTTATAAATGTAAATGTATAGTGTGTGATGTGTGTGTGTGTGTTAGAACAGGTTTGGATTAAACAAAATGGAATGGTTTTATTAAAATTTACTGTCTTTGTTGCTCAGGTCCTGGTGTGAACAATGCACTTCTGCTGCAGATTCAAGAGAAAAAAGAAAAGGAGATGGAGCTCAAAAGCAAAGCCACATATGACAATGTTAGCTTCGAAAACCATGAGAAGACAAACGGTGAAATCCCAGTAGGGCCTTCGTGTCCAGTAACGGCCGACGTTATCCCAAACACCAGCCAAAAACCCAACCAATGGGATATTGCCGTATTGTAGCCTAAGACCTCTTACAAACTGCTCTTCCTCTTTCTTCCAGTTCATTTACCTTTTACACTGATTTGGCATTGCCATTACATACACTACTGCATAAACTTTCCAAGCAGAATCACCTCATGCTACAGTATTTCAGCTCTATACCTTCTTATGTGGGATTCTCGATAGCATTGCGTGACTACTGTCAACCTGTCCATCTCCTTCTGAAGATGTTCATGAGTGAGATCGACTTGCCCAGGTCAAGCCTGAGACAAAGTGATATGGATACAAATGAAGAGCTCAATTCCACTGTTTTATAAATAAGGTAATGACTACAATAGATTAGAATTATTTTACTTTTTTTATCATGTAATATTTGTTGAATGTTATATTTAATCATTGTTGTTTATGTTTTATATTGTCATTTTTGCATGATGGTAATTGTCTTTTTCATGATAGAAACTAAACTCTGAAAGGAGGAAAATGTAGCTCAAATAACACTCCAGTTTAAAGAGTGTCAGCTCTTGTATTATAAGCATTACTGTAGTAATATTAAATGCACTGTGTGTATTTCTACATTCTGCAAAAATTCATTGAATGTTCAATAGATTAACTTTGCATTCAAAGTTAACCCTTACTGTTAAACTAACTATAAGCACTTTAATGACAATATTTTATTTCAGAGGCAATTAAGGAAACAATTTTTTCAATTCAAAAGGATATTTATTACAGAGTAAATATTTAAAAACATGATTGTAATACTCTCGAACACTGTCGAATGACACATTAAATGAAAATAGTTGTATGTCGGTTAGGAAATGATATGAATTAGATAATAAACTATACTGTAATATTGCCTTTTCTCACATGAATGCTATCTAGCAAGTATTAAAATGGTTAAGCCTGTTATTAAATAAAGCAATAATCCCCATGAAGCAGTGGTTTACAGTGATTAAGAACATTGTAAGGCCTGACGCCGAGTGGTTAGTCCATACAAATATTTTTTTTTGTAGAGCGTACTACACGACAGAGTCTTATACTGTGACACATTCATCAAAAATAAAAGGAAATCCAACCTTCACAATGAAAACCATTGGAACTAAAACAAAAAATAAAATAAGTAACACTACGGCAATTGTGCAAACAAAGGACCTGCGATAAAATTTTTGCAATCTGCAACTCTAAGACTTTTAACCCAGAAATGTGCTGTGCTTGCCAATACTGCTGCAATAAGGGAAATCTCTCAAACTCAGCACGCGTACTCATTCACTGGTGCAGAGTTCACTGTGGTCAAAGGGGAAGTTTGGAGGAAAACAAGGGCCTGGTCTCTTAACAATTATTATATCTTCGATGCATTAATTAGCATAGCGCTATCAGCAATAAAATAAACATATCTATAAAGATAAACCTACACCATATATGTACGACGATTTCCTTGTTTCATCAAGTGAAATAACACAAGGGTCCTCTGCCATCTGGTGGACATTTGTCTTGTGCCTTAGTATCGCTAAACCAACATGAGACACTCTGGAAATATACAATAGTCAAGTACACTATTCATATGTAGCTCAAGAGCACATATGGGCTTATTATTTTCTATATATACATATAATATACACAAAATTATTCAGTTTAATGACTAAGTTCCACATTATCAAGACAATTTTCCAAAATGTAACAATGTAACTCCCCCTGTCCAATTGGATAACGTCTGGTGATCAGCCAAGCAGACCGATTGAGAACCTGATGGGTGACTTATGAAAGACCGCAGATATATATATAGATTAGTTGAGGACCATGTAGAACTGCAAAACAGAAGCACTTCAAAATGTTTCCTCAAATAGTGTGTGTTAAGACCTAAACAGTTCATGAGGATGCTAATAAAGAGCAGGAGAAGATCTGATCTGACCTAAGATCAGTAACTCAGAATCTCTGGTAGACTGGCGGACGTCCTGTCCAGGGGTCAGCACATAAGAGACGGCTGTTCACGAGCTTTCAGACTTGTTCTTTTTTTTCTTCTAACAGAGACACTGAAACAAAACGAAAAATTGTTATTAAAATACCATGGTTTCATTATTTTTACAGTTGATCCGAAATTACTGCTGGTTTACTTTTCTAAAGTAAATACTAATTTTTTAAATACTAATTACTTTTTTTTAATGATATAAGTATAACAACTAGAAAAAGTTTAACTATTTCAAAATGTCATACAATTTGATTTGTCCTCCTTTTCTTAATGAGATCAACAGTTTTTTGAATGAATGCTACATTCATGTAATGTTATAATGTTGATTTGTTTTACTTTTGAATCCCGCAAACTGCAACAACAAAAACAAAACAAAAATTGCAGAACAAAATGCACAGCATTACAATTTCACCATAGTGAAAAGTTTGTATGGTTCAAACCTTTTCAGTTGGGGTACTCCCCCAATTTGCTAAATAAAACAAAATAAAATGCTAAACAAAATGCAAAAAAAAAAAGTAAAATGCTAAACAAAACAAACAAAAAACAAAGTTCAAAACATAATTCTAAACAAAATGCAATAAAACAGCATTGCATTTGCACCTTGTGAAGGATTTGTTTGGTTTATACCTTTTCGGTTGAGGTACTTTTGGACCGCACAATATGAAAACAAAACAAACAAACAAACAAACAAAAAGTTAAATCCTAAACAAAATGCAACAATGCAAATCAAAACAAAAACTGCAAAATTCTAAACAAAATGCAACAAAACACTGCATTGCACTTGTACCTTGTGAAGGGTTTGTTTGGTCCATACCTTTTCAGGTGCAAAAAAGAGGCAAGCAATATGCAAAACAAAAAGTAGCATTGTACTTGCACCTTGTGAAGGTTTGTTTGGTTTATTACTTTTCGGTTGGTGTACTTTTGGATCCCACAATAAGCAGAACAAAACAAATAAGTAAAATGCTAAACAAATTACAACAAAATCTAAACAAAAATCAAGTAAAAAGCAAAACAAAACATGATGTTTGGTTCATATCTTTTCATTTGCAAAACAAAACAAAAAAAGTCAAATGCTAAGCAAACTGCAACTAAACAAAAAAGTAACATTGCACTCGCACCTTGTGAAAGGTTTGTTTGGTTTATTACGTTTCGGTTGGGGTACTTTTGGACCCCAGAATAAGCAGAACAAAACATAAGTAAAATGCTAAACAAATTACAACAAAATCAAAACAAAAATAAAGTAAAAAGCTAAACAAAACATGAAAGGTTTGTTTGGTTCATACCTTTTCGTTTGCAAAACAAAACAAAAAAGTCAAATGCTAAGTAAACTGCAACAAAACAAAAAAGTAGCATTGCACTTGCACCTTGTGAAAGGTTTGTTTGGTTTATTACTTTTCGGTTGGTGTACTTTTGGACCCCACAATAAGCAGAACAAAACAAGTAAAATGCTAAACAAATTACAACAAAATCAAAACAAAATCTAAACAAAAATAAAGTAAAAAGCTAAAAAAAAAAAACATGAAAGGTTTGTTTGGTTCATACCTTTTCGTTTGCAAAACAAAACAAAAAAGTCAAATGCTAAGCAAACTGCAACAAAACAAAAAAGTAGCAATGCACTTGCACCTTGTGAAAGGTTTGTCTGGCTCATACCTTTTCGGTCGCGTAATCATGCATTTCCAAAGAACAGCATAGAAGGCTAACAGAAGGCCTATGAACACTGCTGCAGCGATCGCACCTGTAAACACACCAGACACCTGTTAAAGAGCTGTCTGTAGTCTTGAAAACATTTGTCTGAAGAGGCACATAATCTGGATCATGAACACTGATATAGAGTGTGACCGAATGAGAGGCCGCAGTTTCATTGTCCGCAATCCAACGTCACTGGTCTTTATCGTGAAAAATGCAACTTGGATACATATCTTAGGCCTGTAAAAGGTCAAGGGTCTCACAAACAGTTAGAACAGTCAGTTTTAATTAGAATCAAGACATAGAAAGGCATAAACCCTGTGTTTAAAAAGATATATACTCTGAGGAACCATTGAGGAGGAAAATTCCAGTGATGACATGGAAACCTGTTAAATCTGTGAGAGGGTAAAAGGAAAATCAGCCCTGAGTAATGATTTAACACTTCATATTCCATAAATGTGAAAAATTTGTATTGTACCCAAAACAAAATTATATTAGTTGTGAGACAGGCTCTGGCAACATTTCTTTCCAAGTGAGTTACATGATTTAATATTTTATGTAATGGAATAAAATATTGAAATGTTTAAGTCTGATATAGGAGTCAAAATACTTCTGGGGACAACCTACTGCACGTGTAGTCAATAAATGACATTTTCAGAAACATTTTGCAAACAAATTAGGTTATGTCCTCATTTCAAATGATCAGCTCAGCCTCTGAAATTCTGCCCTTATCCAGAAACTCCAAGTGTTTAATAACGATTCCACACACACACGCCACTAGAAATGTTGTTTATACATACAGTATGGTGTTTTTTTTTTGTTGTTTTTTTGAGAATTCATTGACTTTAATATTTCTACAAAAATACAGTAACCTCTTGTTGTATTTCAGGCAAAAGTTCAATCTCTGAAGAGACATGAAGAGAAAAACAAAAAATGTGATCCATAGGAACAAGAGCATTTAGAAAGGGAAGCTTTCAGATAAATCATGTTCCCTAAAGTTTTATTTTATTTAAGAAAGACATGACAACATGTATAACTGTATTTCTTTTGTCAAATTAATCTAATATATATATATATATATATATATATATATATATATAAACAGCATTAATTTAAAAATAATTTTTGTAACATTATATATGATCACTTTTATCTATCCTTGCTGAATAAAAGTATTAATAAATAACTGACTGAATGGTAGTGTAGCTGAAAAGGCGGTCAGTTTTGGACTCTATTGTGACCTCGGGGAATCAGAGAGTGAAACTCTACCCGGTACGATTCCACTCGGTCTGTTCACGGGGGTCTCAGCAAGAGGGGGTGGACTGGCAGTTACTGAGCCTGTGGAGACAATGAAGATTATGTTTAAGCATCTACACACTATCATTAGCATGATGTAATTAAGGCTGTTTAATGCATTACCATTTCTATTAGAGTTGAAGGGGAGCCATAAAGACACTTGGGAAACTATCTGGGGAGATAAAACAACAGGTTATTCAGTGAGAAAGGAATGGGTGGGGATGATTTTACCTTTCAAGAATTGAGTGAATTGGGAAAAGTGTGAGTTAAATACTATAATAGAGGGGGTGAGGGAGGGGTTAAATAAATAAGCATAAGGTGACATTGCATTACATTGATATTAAGTCCTGTTGTAAGTGTAAGACAGCTACATATATCGTTTTTGAAATTACCTTCACACAAGTAGCATATATTTCTCTGCCATGACAGATTTATTCTGTATAAGAACACATCTGGTTATGGAGATAAAGCGGGTAGTATTTGGCTAGTCATGTGATTCCAATAGGGCAGCTCCCGTGAGGGGGGACCTGCCCCATATCATGTAGAATAAAACATAATAAAAAATAAAATAAAGAATAATAAATAATAAAAAATGTATAGGCCATTTTCACTGATGTGTGTTCAAAGTGAGCATGAAACAAAGTTATGATGGTCATTTCTTCCCTATTGCAATTGTAGGGAGGGGAAATTATTTTGAGTAAAGATTAAATGGGTAAGTGAATTTGGAAAGATTTTTTTTTAAAATAATAAATACGGCAACATTCTATATATATATATATATATATATATATATATATATATATATATATATATATATATATATATAAAGAATAGTCCAGTTTGATTTCATGGTGGCTTAAGGACAGAGAGCGAGGGGGCATGTCCCTGCACTGTTTAACAAAGATAAGAAACTATGCCATGACTGAAAGTTTCCAAAACATGCTGGAAGACAGGAAATGTGAGAGAGAGGGAGGGTGAGAGAGAGATATGTTTTCCAAGAAGTAGTTTTGCTCCTCAAAACAACAGTTGATCTGTGCTGTAAATGCAGTCATTCGTCTTGCAAAATGTAACTTATGTCAGTGAATATACTAACAAAAAATGATATTCTGATACAATGACCTATTTTGTATATTTGCAATGAAAAAGTACTACTTTTCTCATCTTAAAAAGATACTGTCTTTAAAAAGCCTTTCAACAGGTGGAGCTTATAACACACTCTGCAGAACAAATGCATTGCATTGTTTCTCATGAGTTAGATTTACCTGTTTGAGATTGTGGTCCTGTGGTTCTTCGTGAAGAGAGCTGTTGTTGCTGTTTCTCACCTCCGTCCACATGTTTCAGCGTGTTTGTGAGTGTCTTTCCTCAATCATCACGAGGGGCCCAGTGTGACGAGGGCGAATGATACTCAAACGAAACAATGTAAAAAACGTTACAGTGGCCGGGGTTCATAAATCTAGTGGGCGGGGCAACAATCCGCCTCAATCCGCGATTTTTATTTATTTATTTATTTATTTATTTATTTTATGGTGGGAGTCGTTTCTGCAAGAAACTTTTTCATAATGCTCTTTCACAATATGTCTTGACAGATGTGAGCTGAAAGCGATTTAAATGGTATGTTCATCCCATAAATCTATAGAGACTTTCTTAACCTTTAGGGGGTATTGACTTGGTTACGAGTGTAGAGAACTGCAAAATCTTAAATTCCTCTTTTCGATTCGAAACATTCTGAGGTGGAGAGTGGTGAAGTATTTTTTAATTATTTTTATCTGTACTTTATCACTTTCCATTTCACAACATGCCATCTGCACTGTTTAATTTTTAATTTCATTTAATACTTAATTACAGTGCAAATCTAGTACTTTCTTATTTTTACTCAAGAAAGTATGCTACAAAATGTATAGTAGGCTACTTTAGTATTGAAGGTTAAAAAAATAGACCATGGACTTTTATTTATTAGGAGGAAAAGGAGGAGGAAGAGGATGTGGAGGTGAAGAAGTATGAGGAAGAGGAGGAGGAAGAGGATGCGGAGGTGAAGAAGACTAATTCTCTGTTTCTGTTTAACTAAAACTAATGAAAAACCTAATGACAGTTGATGATCATTGAATGCATACAATCAGAATAAAATGTTAATAATTAATTTAATTAAAACCTAATGTCTAATTATTGCAATGGACATCACACTTTTAATAAACCCTGTGTTCTACAGCTCTAAAAGATGTTCAAATATTATCACTTGATACAATTAGGATAATACTAGGTGTAAGTTGATGATGCTATGAACAAAATCTGCATATAAAACGTAAAAAAGGAGCTCCTCCTCCTCCTGTCTTGTTGGTTAGCCATAATGTCTTTTGTGATGCCTTAAAACGCTCAATCAGATTAAGTTATTGGTCATACTTTCATTGTGATTGGTTAATCAGGGGCTAATCAGTAACCAGGCAGTACACATATTATAAAAATATAAAATAAAAAGCTATGTGATGTCCATTACAATGGTCGCACAGGGGTAAAATACTCTGTGATACAATTATGGTTCGTATTGTGTTACACTGCCATCTAGTTCCAGGAACCCTCTGTTGCACATTGTATAAAACTGTTGCAAATAAAGCTTGCTCTTTAAAAAACAAACAAATAAATAAATAATATTACCAACATTAAATACTACCATTATTTACAAAATATTTATATATTAAATTAATATTATGTACAGCGCCATTTATGTAGGCTACAGTCATTTTACATTTTTTATATAATAATATTGGAGGGACAATGGAACAATTACCTTAAATGTAACTTACATTTCTGTTTATTACATTTTTTCCCCACAATAATTAGTTTGAAATCAAACAATATGCAGTATGTCACACTGCTGTTAGACAGTGACACTATAACATATTTTTAACTCTGCAATTTAATACAAAAATGATTCACAGAGACATCAAACAATTGATTGACACATGCAGAGGGTGATTTATTTTTGCAAGTTGCCCATTACATCAATTTTCTTCATAATCACAGTTCTGCTTCTGATGGTCTGACATCAGAGAAAAGCAGAAATGGAAGAGTAAGAAACGGCCCATGGCCACAGGCTTTTACTTTCAGTGACGTAATCATACACATTTAGCAATATATGTAGCCTAAAGCCAAAATTACCGGTTCTCCCATGCTGCAGATTGCACTTTGCAATGCTAAATGTAGCAGTCTGCCTGCACTTGTTTCAGGCAACAAGCTTATTTTTCTATTGCTTAAGATATTAAACAATGTCAATAAAAATGAAAGAAGGTGTTAAAGGCTAGAGCTCACAAAATGTAAAGAGTAATGTTAGCATGGTGTGTTGTGTATGGACCAGATAATGTTCCTTAAAGGGTCGATATTTTAAAATATGGAACAACTAGTTGGAAACTTGAACAGTGGTCTCATCACTCACATGTATTGATTGTGTCCCTTCTCGTGTAAAATCAGTGAGTGCATGGAATAGTCTTTTTACCATGGCATGTGATTTTCATAATATAATTCTACCTTATCAGCAGTAGATGACAACGTAGAATGAAATTAAATGATTTAGCTTCACTTGTTCCTTAAGCGACACATCAACACATGAATGCATAAGATGTGAACAGACATTGCGTCAGGGCATTTCATGCTATGAGTTAGAGTTAGACGTCAGTCACTGTCCGAGCACCAAACAGCATGCGCCTTTTACAGTTCCTCATGAACCAAAACAACGAGCTTATTTTGCGTTCACGGCATACTGTAATATGTAAGAGAATGTTATACTCGGAGCGGTTTATGCATTTCAGATGCACAGATGTTGCAGATGCACAGTCAAGCTTGCTCGAGCGTTGACGGGCCGGCTTTGACCGTACCAATATGGCAGATTGCTTGTGCATAGCCCACAGAAACAGCCACTAATGATGAGGTCTCTATCTACAGTAGGCTATGTATGAATATAAATATTTAAATGCAAGAAGCACCAGGTGGCAGTAACACATCACTTCACGTTTCATCCACCTGAATTCATAGATTGGGTTTAATCTTTTTCTACCGACAGGTTTTGTGGAACTGATTGATTGTATTAAATACGTCGGATAAAAACGTTGTGACAACTTTTTGACGACGTGGAAAAACGTTTATACAACGTTTTTGTGTTTGCTGGGAGGTATCAAGTAGCCAGCCACCTGATGTTACGATTATTGTAATTTAATTAAATATTGTTAACTAGTTAACAATAAGTGTTTAACGTCTCCCATAGTTTTTACACCTCCACAACACTTTCCTTATCATCAAAAGATTCCTGATCCATGATGTAGGCTAAAATGATAACAACTTCATAGCAATTAAAAATTATCTCTGAGAATCCCTGGTATTATCTCGTGGAGAAGTGCATTTTATTTTATTGTTAACACTTTGCAATAAGGTTCATAGTTAACATGCTTTGTTCTCAATACACTGTAAAATAATGTAAACACAGGTGTTTTTCTATTAACTAAAATGAACAAAGATTTTAAATACTGTAACAAATCTATTGCTCATTGTTAGTTCATGCTAGTTAAACACAGTATTATGGTGTTCCTAATAATCCGTTAGGTGTGCGTATATGGACAAGCAGGACTTTTTTATATTTATGTTGTTTGTGTTGGAGTCTCTGTTGTGCTCATAGCAGGTCGTGTTTTGGTGTTATCCATGATTTCCATTACACGAGAGTAGATCGTTAGCCTCATAGCATAATTGCCTAAGTCATATTTCAATGTTTTTGGAAAACACGAAAAAAACACAATATTTAGAAATCACATTATGATTTGTTTATTGATATTATAACAGTACATTCAACCAGATGTGTGAACGAGTATGCAAAAAGAAAAAGATCCACCACCAAGTGCCTGCCAAATAAGAGTGACTTAGGCAGAACATGCCATGACTTAGGCATTTTTTCTCTTACATATAAATGCAAACATAATATAACAAAAGTTGTTTTTCCCTCCTAAACCAAGATGTGTAACTTAACCCTAATCAAGTTGTTTCTTAATGTCTAACCAACCACTTTTCCTTTCCCACCAAGTTCTACTCGGGTGCTCTGCATACTCATTTTTACACTGTCTATTGATGAGGGAGGTTGTCACAGTACTGGTGGGCCACTCTTGGTAGTACTGGTGTCATTGCCTGCACGTCATTGAATTTCCTGAGATTAATTGGGCAGGAAAGACTGGGACCCAGTGGAAGGTTCTTTGTGGATGTTGATTCGCTGAGGCAGCTGTGTCTGTATCACTACCATTATCTGGGCTGTCATCTTTCTCAGGTCTATAGTCCTCATCCAAGACAGTGTCATCGATTTCACTATTTGACGATATATCAGGATCTGATTCAGCTCTGGAGGCTTTACTGGCTATTTCCTCTTCTATCTGTTGCCTTATGTCTACGTCTTTACCTTCTTTCTCAGGTCTACTCTCATCTAAATCCTCTAACTCCACTACATTTCCTAACAATAAAGCAGAACATAAAGTGCTGTTGAATATTTTAACACAATTCATGTGTTCACTGATAAAGGTAACTCTTTACAAAAAGGTTAATTTATAAAACATTTATTAACTAACATGAACTTGCAATAAGTAATACATTTGTTACAGTATTTATTCATCTTTGTAAATGTTATTTAATAGAAATAAAGCTGTTCATTGTTTGTTCATGCCTTCACAGAGCATTAAAGTATATTGACACAATTTTAATAAAGCATTAAATACGGAAATTAACATGAAGAAAGAAAAACAAATGCTGTATGAGTGCAGTTCATTATATTAGTTAATGTTAATTAATGTAGTTAACTATAATTAACCTTATTGTAAAGTGTTACCCAAAAAAATCTAAATCTTACCAAATACTTCTTATGTCTAGTCAAAATGTCTAATTTTTAAATGTCTAATTTCTAAAACAAATCTTTTTGCCCCTAAAATAAAAAGTAAATGCTTGAAAAATTACTTAACTTGCCCAAATTTACCTAAATGTATTTTTATGGTGATGTTCCTAATCAGAAATTAGGTAATGTTTAGTTAGTGTTTGCTAGCCTACTTATCTTGTAGCAAAAAATGTGATTTCAAGTTTAAATACACAGTTTATTATCCCTTTGATTGACTGAAATTACATTTAGTGTCTGGAATATTTAAGAAATATGAACTCAGATGAAAACGAATCAAACAGAAGAGCTAATACATCACTTCTGGACATTAAGTGTCTTTCCACGTTTTTTGCCATTTTGTTTGTATCAAAACTGCTTACGTCAAAAAGATGACTAAGGCCGATAGTGTTTTTGGATCCTAATAAGTGTTGTGATTGGCTAAGGACATTGGCAGAAAGGCAGGATGATGCAGTGGAAGGACAGTAAAGATAGGCAGATATCACAATTTGGCAAAAAAAATGACTTGAGGCTAACGAGATGTTAAAACTTCATGCTGATTTACTGTATATTTGGCTTTCACCAAGGTAAGCTAAGACGTAGCTTTACAGTAAACTGTGCTTCTCCATCCATTTACTCTTCTTTCCATATGGTGGTGTGACTCAGAGGCATAGCAAGCTTTTGAAAAGTGTGGGGGATGGATGTGTCATTTAAATTTGGGCATGTTACGTAGATCCCTGTCCCTCTAGGGGGGTTCGGGGGCATGCTCCCCCGCAAGAAAATTTGGTACATTTTAAGGTTAAATGCATCAATCTGCAGCACATTGAGAGCTCAAAATTAAGAGCTTCAACTGGATTCGACCCAGGCCTGTGCACATTGAACAACGAAAAAGCATTGACTTGTAGCTTACCTAAAGAGGGCTCGAAGCCTGTTTTAATTTTATTGTATTTTGTGGCGGAAACAAGCTTCCATACTAATACCACTTCAATCTTATGCGGACGCGGAAAGCACAATCTTTTGGCCTATAGAAATATTGCGCCACACACAACTTTCTCTCACACACACAACAAGCTTTTCAGAAGCGTGTGTGTCTGGCTTTTAAAGTCACTAGTCATTATTAGCATGCAAGTACTCTATCTTTTGTATTCCTCTGGGCTTCTTCATCCGAAAATGACCGAAAACTTTTATGGTTTTTTTTTTTTTTTTTTTTCAGACTTCCTGTCCGTCTATCATTTCAGGGCAGTTGTGTTCATATGAGAAATCGGAAGCCAAGAGCGCAATAGAAGTTATAAAATTATTATCTGTCGAGCATCATAAACATACCCAAATGTCTTAAAATAAATAAGAAAACACACAAAAAAATATATATTTATATATATATATTAATATATTTTTTCTCGATTTTCTTTATTAGTGCTGATCATTGATTCAAGTAACTTTTTACTTAGCTTCCTCCCGGTCAAAAATGACCGACATAGGAAATGAATGGGAAATGCGAAAAAATAGGAAAACTCAGAGAAACTTTTGGTGGTGTACTGTGTACTGAATATGCAAAATTAAATCAATAAATGAAAAAAAAAATCTTGCACAAATGCACACACGGACACACACACTGAGAGAGAGAGAGAGAGAGAGAGAGAGAGAGAGAGAGAGAGAGAATAACTGGTAAGACTGCAACAAAAAAAATGTAGAATATGCAAAATAAAATCAATAAATGAAAAAAAAACTCTCTCAAATGCAGTTTAATTGATTGTAATCATAATGCAAAATCTGATACGTATCTAAAAAAGTTTAAATGTATCTAAATAAAAAACAAACCCTGAATAAGATCGAGAAATCATGTCTAAAACAACAAAAGGAATCAAAAAGCCTTTCTATGTCTTTATATAGGAAGCTAAAAGGCAGCCTACAGGCTGGTACAAGACATTGCACACATGTAACTATCTTTTAAAGCCACTAGGTGGCGCTCTTCTAGTTGAAAATTTTTAGTAGGCTGGCACTGTATTTTGATGCGAAATGTTGCATATATTGTTTTTTTTATATATATATATATATATATATATATATATATATATATTCCAAGTATCATAAAAAGCTCAAAAACTTTTTAATAATAATCACAAAATATTATAGAACAAAACTATATTTCAATGGTTAGGCTATCCTGGGAAAAAATAAAGTTAAATTTCAGGCTTCGTCCATTTTTGAACGGGAGGAAGTGTTACCCAATTTACAAAGAAGCCCAGAGGATTATTTATGTCCGGATAGTTTTATTTGATTTGATGACATTTTCGCTCGTACATCGGGATGTTTTGCAAGTAGCCTAAATGTAAATTAATTGACGACGACTTCAGGTCTGCATAATGCATGATGATTCGAATTTTAGTTGCTATAACGACGCGTGTTGGGTTTTGAATTTGTTTGTTTACATTCAAACATCGCAATCTGTTGCTGCTCGAGAGACGAGGCGAATTCAGAGAGTTTGGCCGAGTATTTTCTGCGCAAGCTATTTGGAGAATTTCAGCGAAAAAACTGATCAGTGATCATATTCTAGGAGGAGTAGATCGGAGGATCCTTTCCCTTTTTCCCCTCTTTTCTTTACATTTATCGTAATTTTTTGGAGGCTTCAATCTAATTGTTATTATCTGGGAGTTAAACTAGGAGTTTGTTGTTTTATTTAATTTTGTATTTAATTTTTGTTGTTTTTGTTTTATTTTTTTATTTTTTTTATCATTTCTATTTATTTATTTGATTTATTTTGGTAGTATTTCTGAGGGGGGTTGTACTGTGTTATTTTTTTGTATTGTATTTTGAAATTAACTTCTTGTTTCTATTGCAGGTTAAGAGGACGTTGATGGCCAGTGAAAGACGAGGTGAGTGCTCTACTTTTCATTTGTTGATGGTATGTTATGGTATGCTGCTGCTGCTGCTGATGATGATGATGGACTAAATTAATGTGCAGAAACTTATGCGAGATAACTTATTTGATCCGCCAAATTTCACAATGATCACGTGTATTTGATTCCTTGTTGTACGTAAAATAAACCTTTTAATTTTGAGTAACTATACAGTAGCAATTTGTAACTGACTGCTGACATTGAACATTGATTAATATCAAAACATTACTAACTATGTGTGTCTGAAATATTCCAGCCTCAGGTCCCTCCAGACCCGGGAGAGCTGCTTCCACTCAGACGGCTGATCTGGAGGTTTGGACACCCAGTTCTGACAGTTTAGCTCCTCTGTCTTCTGAGTTTTCTGGTTCTGTGTTAACAGGTCAGCATCACTGGAAGAGGCAGAGCGGCAGCCAGCAGAGCCCAGATGGTGGATGTGCGTCCACTTCTATTATAACAATATACTTATAACAAGTGACCACTGACATTGATTATTTATATTATTTAAAAAACAACAACTGTTTTTGATGTTTGAAATATTCCAGTGTCAGGCCGCTTCAGACCCAGTCGGAGAGTCGGAAAGTTGAGTCTTAGCAGCAGCGGGTCGTACATCGTTGAGTGGAGGTGGAGTGGCCACGGATCGGACGGCCCAAGTGAGCAGGACAGTTGTGGCCACTGGAGTTCGTCCATGTCCGACAGCCTCGAGATGATGTGTTCTCCGCTGCCAGGTCAGGTTCCTGTGGAGCCAACAGTGGCTTCCATTGGCCTGCCAGCTCAGGGTGCCGTGGAGGCGTCTCCTGCGAACAAGAGCTCAGCAGGTGAGATTGAAATAGGAGTGAGGGGTGTAAAGTGTACTGATTTTGCTATTTCATGCATAAGACTGCTTCAAGTTTTTAACAGGTTAATCTCTAGTCATATTTACCGTTGCTCAGCATAATTTAGCTAAAATGTTCTTTTTAAAAAAAAAAAAAAAAAATGTTTCCATAATGTTTGCAAAATTATAAAACAGAATGTTCCCTCAACATTTGCATTTGCAAGAATTTTTTTTTTTTTAATACTCAATACTAAATATTGTGAAATAAGACTTTGGGACATTTATGCAGGCATTAAGCAGAAGCAAGGCCGTCATATAATATTTGCATTACTTGGATTTGTAACATTACAGATAAAAATCGAACAGTAATGTGTGTAATTTTTTCATTGTTTAATTTGAGGTCAGAGATGTTTCTAATAGTTGTCTTTTCAATTGTTTTTCTACATTTCAGCAAAACCTACAAAATATAGGGAGAAGAAAGGACTTTCTGGTTTCTTCAGGAGCGTGTGGAAGGCTCTGAAACGTCATTTCGGCTGCGGTTGTCACTGTAGTGCCATGACTGTTGTGGAGCCTTTCGTCCCTCCACCGGATCTGGACCCAGAGCCTGACCCAGATCACTCAGCCGTCAAGCACAATAATGGTAAATTCACAGTCATTATTTCTAGATCATGATGATTTTAAACAGTATTGTCGTCTTGTTTTCCTCTAAAAATTTCTCATCCCCATATTAATGTCATAAAAGGTAACTACAGGGGTTAAGATTAGGTTTAGGTGAAGGTGCGTACCTAGTTATTACCCAGTTATTGTAATAACTTTAATAAGTACATGGGGAACAGGACTGTGAAATAAAGTGCTACTGGTAACACTTTATTTTAAGGTGACGTAGTTAAACGTTAGTACATCATCTACTTACTATAGTAACAACAGTAAATGATGCATTCTTACAAGTAACTAATCCTAACCTTAACTCTATAGTAAGTACATGTAGTCAGTTAATATTACCCTGTTCTTATCTGAGTCAGTAAAATGTGAGTATGTCACCTTCAAATAAAGTGTAACCTTTTATTAATATTTTCAAAGGATCTTGCAAGATTCTGTATTTATAATATTGTTTCTGTTTTTCAGAGTCCTTCGCTTCTCTCTTCAAGGTAGGAAAGATGATTGGTTGCGGGGGATTTGGCAGGGTGTACGAGGGGATACGGAGATTTGATGGCAAAAAGGTAAATATTACCGAACTGTACAAACATTTTTGCAAAACAATTTACAGATGGTTTGATACCTAGTGCAAGGTCAGGTGCCTGCCTGAATACTGTTACTGTTAATGAAACATTTTTTGTTTGTTTTTTTGCAGGTTGCCATCAAGCAGATCAGCAAGATTGACAACAATCGTTATCTTGCTATAGTAAGTTGTTGAATGTGTATTTAGTTGTTTAAGTGCTGATTACTGTAGTGTAGTCAATACACCTGTAGGAAGCATTCGCTGTTCATGTTACAGACAAATAAACCTAGAAGCACCAAATAACTTTAAGCTGAAAAGGCTCTGTATCTACATAAAAAATGATATTTGTACCCAGCTAATCTTCTCTCTGCTACTTTTCTCTAGCCTGGTCATCCCGAACCTCTCGTAACAGAAGTGGCGCTGCTTCTAATGATGAGGCAAAAACCCAGAAGCCCCTACGTCATACAGCTGCACGAGTGGTTTGAACACCCTCGAAAATTCACTCTCGTCATGGAGTACCCCGAACCTTGCGAGAGCTTGCTGGCCTTTATCAACCGTAACCCTGAACTGGATGAACCTACGACACGGGTCATCATTAGACAGGCTGTGCTGGCAGTACAACACTGCATCGAACGTGGCGTTTTTCACAACGACGTTCATGCCGGAAACTTCCTGATAAAGAAAAACACACTAGAGCTCAAGCTGATTGACTTTGGCTGCGGTCAGCTTCTTAGTAGCGACGGCTACGAGAGCGGAGTGTACCTTGGTGAGCATTTTGGCAGTGTGGAAACCTGAATGTAGTGACCTACTGATTATTTGACATTTTGGAAAAACAAAAAAGCTCAACAACTCGCAAATGTCTTTCTTACAGGAATACATACCTACCGCCCACCTGAAGTCTTCACTGACACGAGATTCCACGCCGTCCCAACTAATGTCTGGGCTCTAGGAGTGTTGTTATACGAGATGACGAACGATTATCCTCCTTTTGACAATAAAATGGAAATCATACGAGGCAAAGTTATGTTTGTGAACTCCAACTTATCCAAAGGTGAGTGAATAATATTGAAATCTTTGATAAGCACACACATAAAGCAAAGGCTCTGTACAGAAACAGTTAAAGGTGAAGTACTCTATGTAAGATTTCTTTGCCTTTGTGATGTTTGAGTTGGAAGAAGGCGTGAAGCATGCAAGGTCTTTTGAAAATATGCTCCTTTTGATGCAGAAACTGCATACTTCACCTTTAAAGTAAAGATAAAGAACATGTTACCTTACATGATCATCATGACTAACCAGCTCTCTTCTTATTAATATTGGTACAGAATGCCGTGATCTGATTAGCCAGTGCCTTACAAAGGATCCCGCTAAACGGCCGACGTTAAAGCAGATCTTACAGCATCAATGGATTAGAAAATGATCTTCTTGTAGATTGAACAAGTTCAGGAGATTTCAGGTGTGAGGAAGTATAACAGTCAGACAGAGTAGGATTATTATCATTTGTTGTTATCATTTATCTATTTTCACATTTGTGGAGTGAACAGAGTTTATTTGAATGTTGTTGTCATAGTCTAGTCACCTTCTTTCATTAGTGCTTTATACAGTACATATTGTTTCATGCAGCTTCATGATATTTAACAGGAAAATAATGCAAACAGAATTCAATTGTGCTGTAAAAACTTTTCTGTGTTGACATGTTCTTATAATGTTTGTATTGGATAGGAAATAACAAACTTGCTGTCCTTGGTGGAGGGCTTGAGCTCGTGACGTGACCCGAAGCTCGAAATCCAACTCGCCAGGGAACTCACGCTGCCACACCAGAGAGCTCAGAGCCTGGCAACACGAGGGATCTTGCGGACAGTACTTCAATCAAGGAAAATTTGGGATGAGCGGAGTGGAGCGGTGAGCGCTCACGGAACTGTTCACCCCTCCGCTCCGCAGCTCAAAGCCACACCAGGCCGCAAATGTTTAAATGTTTCATTTCAAATTACAAATTAGGACTAGCCTACGTAAGAACAGGAATGTAGCCTACACAAAAAGTCCTGTAAAATTAAATGAATAAATGGGCCTAATAATATGAATAAAAATTATATGAAACAAAAATATACGTAAATAAAAGTAATAAAAGTAAATTAACTATAGGCCAGAATTTTGATAGCTGAACTTTTGCTCAACGCGCACGATAAAAATTTAAATTGGCTTAAACTGCTGTAAAATTAAATGAATAAATGGCTGTAATAATATAACCAAAAATTATATACACAAAAATGTAAAAAAAAAAATACATACATAAATGTTTAAAAGTAATTAATTATTAGGTCAGAGTTTGATAAGCCTAACTGAACTTTAGCGTAGCGCACACTATTAAAATTTAAATTGGCTTATAGGCCTATATCAATTGTACACAAAAAAAGCTGTAAAATTAAATGAATCAATGGGCCTAATTATATAAATGTTATATAAGTGTTAAATTATATTAAAGTAAATGAACTATTAGGCCACCAGACTTATATCTAACTGAACTTTTGCGCGGAGAGCACGTGGATAACAATTTAAATTGGCTCAAACTTCACAGTCTGAATGTAATCTGAAGATAACATATTGCGTATGTACCTAAAAAAAGATATCACAGTTTCTGGATAATTTAAAAAATAATAATAAATAAATAAATAAATAAAGTTGTCCTCCGAAGAGGGGGGGTGGAGGTGGGAGAATAAAAAAATAATAATAAAATAAATAAAATAAAATTTGCTCAAACTTAAAAGTTATAACATATTGTGTATGTACCTAAAAAAAAGATTTCACAGTTTCTGTATAATGTAAAAAAATATAAAAAATAAATAAATAAATAAATAAAGTTGTCCTTTAATAAAGTTGTCATGGGTGGAGGTGGGAGAATAAAAAAAATTAAAATTAAATAAATAAAATTAAAATTGGCTCAAACTTAAAAGTTATAACATATTGTGTATGTACCTAAAAAAAGATATCACAGTTTCTGTATAATTTAATAATAATAATAATAATAATAATAAATAAATAAATAAAGTTGTCCTCCGAAGAGGGGGGGTGGAGGTGGGAGAATAAAAACATAATAATAAAATAAAATAAAAATTGGCTCAAACTTAAAAGTTATAACATATTGTGTATGTAGTACCTAAAAAAGATATCACAGTTTCTGTATAATTTAATCAATAATAATGATATTAAATAAATAAATAAATAAAGTTGTCCTCCGAAGAGGGGGGGTGGAGGTGGGAGAATAAAATAATAAAATAAAATAAAAATTGGCTCAAACTTAAAAGTTATAACATATTGTGTATGTACCTAAAAGAGATATCACAGTTTCTGTGTAATTTAATTAATATTAATAATATTAAATAAATAAATAAATAAAGTTGTCCTCCGAAGAGGGGGGGTGGAGGTGGGAGAATAAAAAAAAAAAAATTAAATATATAAAATAAAAATTGGCTCAAACTTAAAAGTTATAACATATTGTGTATGTACCTAAACAAAAAGATACCACAGTTTCTGTATAATTTAAAAATAATAATAATAATAATAAAAATAAATAAATAAAGTTGTCCTCCGAAGAGGGGCGGTGGAGGTGGGAGAATAAAAACATAATAATAAAATAAAATAAAAATTGGCTCAAACTTAAAAGTTATAACATATTGTGTATGTACCTAAAAAAGATATCACAGTTTCTGTATAATTTAATCAATAATAATGATATTAAATAAATAAATAAATAAAGTTGTCCTCCGAAGAGGGGGGGTGGAGGTGGGAGAATAAAAAAAAAATAATAAAATAAAATATATAAAATAAAAATTGGCTCAAACTTAAAAGTTATAACATATTGTGTATGTACCTAAAAAAAGATACCACAGTTTCTGTATAATTTAAAAATAATAATAAATAAATAAATAAATAAATAAATAAAGTTGTCCTCCGAAGAGGGGGGGTGGAGGTCGGAGAATAAAAACATAATAATAAAATAAAATAAAAATTGGCTCAAACTTAAAAGTTATAACATATTGTGTATGTACCTAAAAAAGATATCACAGTTTCTGTATAATTTAATCAATAATAATGATAATAAATAAATAAATAAATAAATAAAGTTGTCCTCCGAAGAGGGGGGGTGGAGGTGGGAGAATAAAATAATAAAATAAAATAAAAATTGGCTCAAACTTAAAAGTTATAACATATTGTGTATGTACCTAAAAGAGATATCACAGTTTCTGTGTTATTTAATTAATATTAATAATATTAAATAAATAAATAAAGTTGTCCTCCGAAGAGGGGGGGTGGAGGTGGGAGAGTAAAAAAAATAAAATAAAATAAAATATATAAAATAAAAATTGGCTCAAACTTAAAAGTTATAACATATTGTGTATGTACCTAAACAAAAAGATACCACAGTTTCTGTATAATTTAAAAATAATAATAATAATAATAAATAAATAAATAAATAAAGTTGTCCTCCGAAGAGGGGGGGTGGAGGTGGGAGAATAAAAACATAATAATAAAATAAAATAAAAATTGGCTCAAACTTAAAAGTTATAACATATTGTGTATGTACCTAAAAAAGATATCACAGTTTCTGTATAATTTAATCAATAATAATGATATTAAATAAATAAATAAATAAAGTTGTCCTCCGAAGAGGGGGGGTGGAGGTGGGAGAATAAAATAATAAAATAAAATAAAAATTGGCTCAAACTTAAAAGTTATAACATATTGTGTATGTACCTAAAAGAGATATCACAGTTTCTGTGTAATTTAATTAATATTAATAATATTAAATAAATAAATAAATAAATAAATAAAGTTGTCCTCCGAAGAGGGGGGGTGGAGGTGGGAGAATAAAAAAAAATTATAAAATAAAATATATAAAATAAAAATTGTCTCAAACTTAAAAGTTATAACATATTGTGTATGTACCTAAACAAAAACATACCACAGTTTCTGTATAATTTAAAAATAATAATAATAATAATAATAAATAAATAAATAAAGTTGTCCTCCGAAGAGGGGGGGTGGAGGTGGGAGAATAAAAACATAATAATAAAATAAAATAAAAATTGGCTCAAACTTAAAAGTTATAACATATTGTGTATGTACCTAAAAAAGATATCACAGTTTCTGTATAATTTAATCAATAATAATGATATTAAATAAATAAATAAATAAAGTTGTCCTCCGAAGAGGGGGGGTGGAGGTGGGAGAATAAAATAATAATAATAAAATAAAATAAAAATTGTCTCAAACTTAAAAGTTATAACATATTTTGTATGTACCTAAAAAAGATATCACAGTTTCTGTATAATTAAAAAAATAATAAATAAATAAAGTTGTCCTCCGAAGAGGGGGGGTGGAGGTGGGAGAATAAAAAAATAATAATAAATAAAATAAAATAAAAATTGGCTCAAACTTAAAAGTTATAACATATTGTGTATGTACCTAAAAGAGATATCACAGTTTCTGTGTAATTTAATTAATATTAATAATATTAAATGAATAAATAAATAAAGTTGTCCTCCGAAGAGGGGGGGGGGGGGGTGGAGGTGGGAGAATAAAAAAATAAGAATAAAATAAAATATATAAAATAAAAATTGGCTCAAACTTAAAAGTTATAACATATTGTGTATGTACCTAAAAAAAGATATCACAGTTTCTGTATAATTTAAAAATAATAATAAATAAATAAATAAATAAAGTTGTCCTCCGAAGAGGGGGGGGGGGGGGGGGTGAAGGTAGGAGAATTAAAAAAATAAGAATAATAAAATAAAAATTGGCTCAAACATATTGTGTATGTACCTAAAAAAAGATATCACAGTTTCTTTATAATTTAATTAATAATAATAATAATAATAATAGTAATATTAATTAAATAAATAATAAATAAATAAAGTTGTCCTCCGTAGAGGGGGGGTGGAGGTGGGAGAATAAAAAAAATGGCTCAAACTTAAAAGTTATAACCCCGCTCGCTCGCGCTCCAATCCACTCACATACTCTGGATCCTAAAGTTAAGCCAAAGGGTGTACAAACACACTGTAGGGTTACAAATGTATTAAAATCTAGATTTCCCATACCAAAGAAGTGTAGTAGTGTGAATTATTTTAACTAAGGTAAATGTCACAAACCTGTCCTGATCTTTGTATTGCAAGTTAAATTGATACCATCACCTTGTGTTTATAAGTTCAGCAAGATCATGGTAAAAGTTGTCTTCAATCAGCTGAATAAATTCTTAAGCTCAAATGGATACTTTGACAATTTTCAATCCGGTTTCCGATCGCATCACAGCACAGAGACAGCGCTCATAAAGATAATAAACGATATTCGCTTAAACACTGATACAGGCAAATTATCAGTGCTGGTACTACTCGACCTCAGTGCTGCATTTGACACTGTTGATCACAACATGCTTCTTGACAGGCTGGAAATTTGGGTGGGGCTTTCTGGGATAGTCCTAAAATGGTTCAGGTCATACTTAGAAGGGAGAGGTTATTTTGTGTGAGTATAGGAGAACATAAGTCTAAGTGGACATCCATGACTTGTGGAGTCCCTCATGGTTCGGTTCTTGCGCCACTCCTATTCAACCTGCATGCTCCCAATGAGCCAAATAATGAGAAAGAATACTTTGACTGCCTGTTGCTATGGTTACTCACAGCTGTTGTAGGCAGCGCATTTATTTATTAATTTCGAATGGTAAACAGGCAGTTTCACCAGAACTACTTTACTAGGTGTCCTCTATCACTTTTTAACGGACACCCTGCAGCCAATCAGAATCGAGTATTCACCTAGACCATGGTA